TCACAAAGATGGCCTCCTTTACTCCTCTCTCAAACCATCGTTCCTCTATGTCCAGGATGTGAACATCTTCATCCCTGAAAGAGTGACCGCTGGCCTGGAGATGAGTGTAGACCGCAGAATCCTGGCCTGATGATGTTGATCTTCTGTGCTGGGCCATCCTTTTGGCCAGTGGCTGTTTAGTTTCCCCGATGTAAGACTGATCACAGCCCTCCTGACATTGAAAAGCATACACAATATTACTCTGTTTGTGCCGGGGGACTGGATCAGAGAAGAAACCCAAACAGGACTCCAGTCCTGTTTGGGTTTCTTCTCTGCTTTCAGGAAGGCCCAGTTAGGATATCCACATTGCTCTAGAGCCTGTCTTGTGTAGGATTTCTCCTTCTGCCTGGCTCCTGAGCTAGTGGGGATGCTGTCTGCTCTGTGGTACAGAGTCCTGATGACTCCTAACGTGCTCCAAAGGGTGATGGGAGTCAAACTGCAAATACTGGTCTGTGTGGGTGGGATTGTGGTACACCTCGGTTTGCAAATGTCCTCTACCAGAGACTGAGACCTCACAGTCCAAGAAAGCCAACCTGCCATATTTTGCATCTTCTCATGTGAACTTGATGTATTTATCCACAAAGTTGATGTGGTCAGTAAAATGTTGGACTTCCTGAGATTTAATTTTAACCCAGGTGTCGTCAACATCCCTGAAACAATGACTTGGTGGTGTCCCTGAAAAGGACGTCAAGGCTCTCTTTTCTACCTCCTCCATGTACAGGTTGGCAACAATAGGAGAAACTGGAGACCCCATAGCACACCCATGTTTCTGCCTATAATATTGCTCCCCATATGTGAAGTAGGTTGACTGCAGGCACAGTTTCAAGAGTTGACACAGTTGTTCTGTGGAAAGCGTGGTCCTGCTGCTCAGAGTGGTGTCTGATTTTAATTTTAAACTGACCACCTCTACTGCATCATCAACAGGAATGCATGTAAAGAGTGATGTGACATCAAAAGAGACCATTGTTTCATCAGTCTCCATGATGACATCCCTCACCTTATCCACAAAGTCCATGGTGTTCTGTATGTGGTGTTCTGAGCTGCCAACTAAAGGGATGAGTACAGACACCAGATAATTGGAAACATTGTAAGTGAGTTAATCATGCTAACAATAGGTCTTAAAGGTACACCTTGTTTGTGGATTTTAGGTAAAACATACAGACTAGGTGTGGCCTCCCCTGGGTACAGTCTGTGGTACAGAATACGGTCAATAGCGTTGTCCTGCTCCAAATTTTTCAGACAATCTATTAACTTCTTCTTGTAACCACTTCCTGGATCTCTTTTCAGACGTTCATAACTGATTAAGTCACTAAGGAGTGTCATAACTTTCTCATGATAGTCTTTCTGGTTCAAAATCACTGTGCACCTTCCTTTGTCTGCTGGGAGAATGATGATGTTTTTGTCCTTGCTAAGAGTGGTGAGTGTATCCCTCTCCTCTCTACTGATGTTGGAAGGTGGTGGTTTGGCATTGCTGAGGCAGAATGAAACTTTGATTCTGAGCTGTTCTGCTTCACCCTCTTTCATTTTGTTGTTGCAGATGGCTGATTCTGTGGCTGTGATCATCTCCACCAGAGAAATTCTACTTGGTGCAACCGCAAAGTTCAGTCCCCTGGCAAGAATCTCTGTCTCCGGCTGGGTGAGCTGTCTGTCAGATAAATTTTTCACCCACTTTTCTGTCTCCCTGGCATGTAATTGACTACTGGAGTGTTGTCCTACACTGAATGTGTTGTTATTGGAATAGTGGATATCCTAACTGGGCCTTCCTGAAAGCAGAGAAGAAACC